TTTGAACCAGGATCTAGAATCATAATTTTAAATATATCTACCAAATGCACCCTAAAAAAGCCACTGTCCACTAGGAGAATAAAAACAAGACTATAAAAAAATATATAATATACTTTTAGTGGACGTTTGGTTTATGGATTCAAAATCATTCTCAATTTATGTGTATTTTTATGAGAAAAAATATTATAACAAGTTACGAATTATGATATGAATTATGACACGAATCCACTAACCAAACGCTCTCTTAAATTCTAATTTTGAAGGCTTGTTTATTTAGCATTTAAATTTATAATTTTAATTCTATTATAATATTTTTTATAAAAATTTTAAATTTTAAATATTAAAATTAAAAGTCACTAATTTAAACGTATTAACAATTATCATGGATTTTTCTTCATTAATTTATCTGCATTCGTCATGTTTCTCGGATTAGAGAATGCATCGTCCTGATCCCACAGGATTCCACGTGGTGCCTAATAATTACGTACTTGCATCGTCAATTGCAGTATATACACACGTGCTAATTTACTAATCAGCGAGCTGTTAAAGAACAATTAACTTGTAATGGAAAAGGCGTTGCTGACTCGCTTTTAAGTGGTAATCCCGCGTTTTTAACTAATCACGTTTTAAATGTAAACTGACACAAGTCTTTATGGTCAACTATTAATTAACATTATTCTCAAAAAAAAAAATCCTCACGTATTCCTAACGTATTAATTGGTTATATTTTTTAACTATTAAATCCGTATATTTTTAAATTTTTATGTAATTAACGTACCGAATAAAATTTTAAAAAATTGTTAATTGTCACGGGCCTTTAGAATCAATTACCTTTTTGTTGTGATCATGAAAACAGAAATAAGAAGTGCCTCTAACCTTAATTTAGCAGTCACTTGACAATATTTTGGAATCATAACTAGAATAAAAATAAATATGTCTCCTACTTTCGTCAATTAGTATCGGATCTAAAGTCGTATTAACCCAATGGTATTTTAATAGGTTAATAAGAGACATAATTTTAACCTTATAATAAACAATAAGAAACAATTTTTAATAGGATGAGAGCCTAAAAATGGTGTTGGTCCTTATTTTCTCCTTTTTGTACCGCGTTATTCAACATAGAATTAAATGGATGAATCAAGGGGGGCAATAGTTTAAATTTTTTTCTCTATTTAATAGGATAAATCTACGACATAATTGGCAAGTTGCTATAATCAATAATTGAATTAAATGCCACTTTAGCAAATAATAATACTAAGAATAATGAGTGCCCATAAATTCCCTGTCCTTGTGGTTAATCTCACTAAAGTTAGTTTCCCCTTTGAGGATCGCAGAAACAAATTAAAGAAGAGTTAGAAAATAAATTAAGGCTCGTTCATTTTATCAATTTGAGTTTTATTACAGTAAAAAAATTTTAAAAATAATTACATTTAATTTTTTTTATTATAATAAAAAATTTTCACATAAAATTATATATCTCAATTTAAATTAAAAATTTAAATTAACGAATTAAACGGACCTTAAAATAATCATGTTCAAAGACATGAAACCGAATTCTCTTCCATTTAAGCCTTTGGGTCATAAAATACCGTTTTCAGTTGTCACAGTCTTGCCATGGGTGTTGAGACCCGTTGGAAAGGCAGATATTATTGGCAAACTACAAAAGAGAGCAACATTTTATCTGTGGAGACATATATATATATATATATATATGTGTGTGTGTGTGTGTGTGTGTATTATATATAGGCGGCAATGTCAAGGTAAAAATAGGGAAGCAGATGTGAAAAGTGGGGTAGTTGGTGGTCTAGTTTCGAAAAATAATTTACCTTAACAGTAGTAGTGAATCAGGCAAGCAAAATGGTGGCTTAAAAGAATAATAAAAATAATAATAAAAAAAGGGGGGGTTGTGTTGTTTTGGGCATTAGGAGATGATAAAAGGAAGCAAGTGAAGAGGGGAAAGAAAAAAAAAAAAGGACCCACTAATCACATGCAGAGCGTTTTAACATGAAGGCCCTCTCAACAACACTTGTTATTTTATCACGTGCCCATTCAATGCGTGTATTAAAGTACCCTGGCCCCTATAATTTCCTTATCAAAATGTATGTGTATCACCAAAGCAATAATAAAAGAGAGAAAGAAAGAAATATGTTAAAATTTGAGATGAATTAAAATTAATAATTTATATAAGTTAATAAATAGGTTAAATTATTATTTTTATTCATAATTTGTCTGGTTATGAATCATAACTTGATAAATTATTATCCATAATTCATGATTTTTGTCAATAACTTATCTGGTTATGAACCATAACTTAATAAATTTATTCAAAATTTATCTGATTATAAATCATAATTTGATAAATTATGATTTATTAATTTTTATAATTTTAAATTAATTTATATATTTTTTTAAACTTTTTATATTGGTCTATTTTTTATTATTTTCAATAATTAAAATAAGATGAGTCTCGAAGAAGGTGGGCTCCCCATTTAACGGATTAAAGCAGAACATGTCGTTCATTTGGAAAAGAGGCCGTTTGGGTTTTGAAGTCCCATAAATATTTATGGGAAAATTTTATGCAGAAAAATTGTTGTTGTGTTGGAGGGTATCATCTCGTCACAATGATATAATCATTAAAGTCGCATTGATTTTGACCATACACCAGGATACATGCTCCTTCTCATAAAAGAGAAGTCCACATTGGAGTTTGGACGTCTTCACCATCTACAGCTCAGTAAATCCCTTCACCCTAGCGGCTGCTAAGGAAATCTCGAGCAGCTGCTGGGCTACCATCGAATCTACAAATAAATCACCTATCCATTAAGAGAGGGCGCATTCACTCAACATTTAGAAAGGAAATAAACATTTCATTGATGCCGTAGCAAACTCCGCAACTAATACTGGTCATATCCCATGGTCAATGAATTACTCTCACTCGAGACTTGAGAGATTAAGGACTCGTTCGTTTCGATAATTTCAATCACAATTTAAGTTTTTACTACATTATTTTCTTTCACATAAATTTAAAATTCACATTCTTTTTTACTATAGTATCTTTCATATGAATTCACTTTTTAACTCGAATTCTTAACTTCAACGAAATGAACGGGGTCTAAAATACGCATTTTTACAACTCTAAAGTTTGTCGACTTAAGCATTAGAGGACCGTTAGTTGTTATCTCACCAATGCCTTTTCTTTTACTTGTTTGTTTCACAGAGTTAAGAGTTCAACAAGGTTTTTTTTTATTTTTATTACGTTATGTATTGAAAATGTTATTTTGATCCAAATTACAAGTTCAACGACATGCTTTAGGGCATTTAGAAACCAAAAATATCAATATCTCAATTAATTCATTATATTTTTTTTAACCTAACAGTTTATGCCATTTTTTTACCTCAAAATTTTCTAAAAAGAAAAGAAAAACCTAATCGTGTCAAGAGTGCATGCAATATATCAATAAGAATCTTTAAGGACTGGACAAGACAGTTGCAATTTGTGTGCTAAAATGCAAGCGGTATTTATTTCATTATTTGTCATCGGAGATTCAAAATTCTTTGAAAGGTAAATGTATTTTAAATCAAACAGATACAGACACCAATACTGTCTCGAATGACCAAGCAATACAAGAAAATCTAACCTCAACCATTAACCGGTACTACCTAATGAACCGTCCAAGGGGAGCAAGCACATACCAAACTTTACCGATGAGAAGGTAAAAAGGCACGCTAACAATCGAGCACACACACGGCTCTTTAGACAACTACTCTACAATTGATGAAAAACTCCGACTGATCGAGCCTAAAAGTCCTGTAAACCAAAGGTCACTCACAATACCGTTACGAGCAAACACAAATGGATTGGACAGTGACATAAAATCGGAAAGTGGGGAGACCACATCCGTTATTACAAGAGTAAAACAAAAACAAGACAACAAAAAACAACAGCAAAAATGCGGATACAACGCCTTTATTGAATTAAAACAACTAAAAATAAACGAGCGAGAGACCTCAGCCTTGCGCGAAACCTAGCCGATGACACACCAATCACAATGACACAAGAGACCAGAAACAACCAAACTGCAAAGGGGCAGAATCACCACATGAGAAGAGAAGCAACACCAGCACAAGGGAGCCCATTACTGCCACCACCACCACCAACCAAGCCGCGGCCTCCACCAAAATTCGCGCTGCAACACCGAGTCAACAATCCTTGTGCCACAACTCCACAGAAAACCACACCCCGTCAACAACAACCCCGCCTTCGCCATCAACTCCGGCCAACCCACCAAGCAAATCGCCCCTTGCATCTCGACCTAAAATTTAGGGCCAAAATCCTCATAGCACCAACATCCTTCAAATGTCAGCATGCCCAGGAAAGGCAGCCAAACACTTGACTCCAACCCACATTGAACATCCACCTCCAACGTTGCGAGATTGGACCCATCATCACCGGGAAACCGTCAGAAGACCCTGAGTATCATCTCTGGGGCCGGAGATCCAAAAGCCAACAGGGCAGCAATGTTGGACTTCGGCCCACGAGGAGCGGCGCACCCGCAAGAGGAAACCTTAGTTTTCTCGAGAAGAGAGGGAGAGAAAGAGTTAGATTTCCTCTCCGTGGGGTTCAAAATTCTACTGCATCGGATTAATTGTTTTGGCATATTAAGGGGCGACTAAAGTGACGTTTAGTTCATGGATTTAAAATTATGATTCATGAGTCTGATTTTTAAAATTTAAATTTTTTGTGAGAAAAAAACACTATTGTAGAACAAAAAATCATAATCCTAAACCGGACAGAACCATTGAAACAAACGTCACCTAAAAAATTCTACCATGAACGAGAATTGCTTCACATGAAAACTGTTCTTGCTCACGAGTGATGATATGAGGTTTGAAAAAATCAAGTTTGTCCCATTCCTGCCTTAATGTGCCATAAGCAACCAATTGGACAATGTTGGCTGGTTGGGCAGTGAAGGACAAAATTTAAAATCAAGTATCTTTATTTTATTATTAATTTTTTTTTTCTGGTCCAAATCTCAATATCAGTTTTCCACTCAAATAAATTAAAATATTTATTATCATATCATCATACAGTTATTCCATATTTACAAAAAATTCCGTGGAAAGCGATAACGATTCCCAAACCTCATTATTCATATCTCTATTCCTCTTCAGCTAAACGCCAACGTGGCTATAATCCGAAGTACTCCATTATTTCTTAATTTGGTTTGAACAAACACATCTCTGCTATGTGTAGGCAAAACTAACTCCTCTTGTCAGACCCATGGAGCTGTAGAAGCAACGAATTTGTAACTACAAATATCGAGCTTAAAGCCATCAACCCACCTGTCAACCCGAGCATTCGAGTCAAGAATCAGAAGTTGGAAAGGAAACGGGACATTATAATAGGGTACATTGCCTGGGATGATATGTGTTGAAATTGACTCTTTCCATTCCAGTGGAGGAATAAGAAAAAAAGAAGAAAAAGCTTTTCTTATTTCTTACCTGAGAGTGATGGTGTCATCGCAAAATCGAATTTTGGAAGCAGTGCTCCTGCAGCTATTGGAATGGTGACTACGTTGTATGCAATTGCCCATGCTAAATTTTGGTACACTTTTGACATTGTTGCCTGTGCAAGTTCCAAAGCATCTACAACCTGCCAGGAACATGATTCAAAGTGAGAACTGAACAAAGGAGCTTTTCTATCCTTTTTCATTCACTTTTTTTTTATTCTTATTTTATTTTTGAAGATGAATAGTTTAATGCACATAAATTGGATTGTATCTGTGGATTAAATGTGTTGCATGAGTGGGAAAGAAGATAAAATCCATTTAGATCATGGAAAGACATACTTGTGATAATTTGTTTCCAAGGAGTATAATGGACGCGGCGTTGGATGCGGCATTTTCTTGGGCTTCAATACGCAGAGCAATACCGACATCGGCAAGAGCAAGAGATGGTGCATCATTTATGCCATCACCTACCTTCAAGAAACTAGACATGTCAGTGAGTTGAAAATCTGTAAGCAATTCAGACCACTTACAACAAAGCCAACAAAAATGAGAAGAATAAGTAACAAGGATTGAAATTGATGGGTACCATTGCAATGTGATATCCCCCAGCTTTAAGGGAAGAGATAACTTCTGATTTCTTCTGTGGAGCTAATGAAGATTTGATTGATTCCTTTCCTATACCAACTACCTCTGCTACGCTTGCAACTGCCTCTTCCCTGTCTCCCGATAAGAGGACAGTTTTGATACCCTTCTGCTGGAGCCTTCAGTCAAAGTATCAAGTTATGAAACAGTTGATAATCATAGTAAGGCGAGAAAAATGTTAGAAAATACCAAAACAATAAAAGAAAAAGAAGAGGTATTCGAAGCATCTAATTCAAAGTAATAGTCAGGTTCTTATATCAGCTGCATGCCTGCATCTAACAGATTGTTGAACGACATTTCACTCTTAGTTATAAGTTGATGCAGTGCTAGTTTATGACAAAATAAACTACCTGTTAAGAGTAAATTTAGCATCATGGCGCAAACTGTCAGATACTGCAATAGCACCGATAATGCCTTCACCTTCACGTCCAACGTAAACAATTGTTTTTGAGTAATTGGAATATGCTACTCCTATGGATGATTGGTGAATTGCATGTTCTAGATTCATAATGTCAGACGTATTTGTTCTGGTTTGGAATCGGTCACGAACCCACTCTAAGGATCCAACCGCAACCAAACACCCATCTACTTCGGCTAACGTTCCAAAACCTGGTTCTACCAATTGCCCTGTTGTGACTGGGGTGCTCAAACCCAATGATTCAGCCTTATTTGTGATAGCCTTTGCGATTGGATGTGAAGCTGTATTTTCTACAGCAGCCGCAATTCGAAGAATTTCGGAGTCTTCATAAACAAAAGAAGCAATAGAAGAAACAGCAGGTTTTCCTTCAGTGAGAGTTCCCGTCTGGAGGTGGGAGACATAGGGTGAGAATTGAGATAGCATATAAAGTACATGTAATAAACTACATATAAAATTTGCATTAATCACGCTATAGAGTTTGTTCTTCTGGCTCTGAACCCGAGCATGGGAATATGACAGACAAGAACAGAAAGGGAATGGACCAAGGTTTGTAATCATACCTTGTCTAAAGCGATATAGTCTATGCCGGCCAAGCGTTCCAATACATCTCCTCCTCGAATAAGAAGTCCTTGTCTTGCTCCTGCCCATTTTTCAGACAAAATACGGAAAAAAAGAAGAAAAAAGTAAATGAAGCTTCCAATTAATTACTTCTTCCACCTATTGACTTTTAGCTAGTAAGAGGCCAAATAACCAAATAAATCTGGCGCACATCTGGAAAATTCCCTTAGATGACAGAATATGGAATGAACCAATACTTAAATATATCACTTCTTTTAGAAGCTTATTTTCTTATTTATATCTTGTTGGCAACAAGTCAATTTAGATTCTGATGATGCAGATCCTTAGTCCAACTCCTTTCGACTTTCCAAATTAATGATAGGACTTTCATACAAACATTGCACAACATCAAAGTGAAATGTTGCAAACGATAGATATTTTTACCAAGAGAGGTTCCAACCAAGATAGCTGTGGGTGTGGCAAGACCTAGGGCACAGGGGCAGGAAACTACCTGAACAAAAAGAAGGAATAAAAAGTAAATATATATAATGCTTCTCCAAGAAAAATAAAATAACACGCAAAGTTCTCTCATAGAATAACATGCAAGGTTCTCTCTCCCTCCCTCTCTCTCTTTTTTTGTCTATCGTCTACTATCATCTAGTCTGTTATCTAATGCTCGATGCTCCCCATTAAAAGGTCAACCAGTACTGAGTCACCAACATCAAAACCTGACGAGTTAAATATAATTTCAGTATAGTTTTTGAACCTCAAAAAAACTCAAGATTCCTCCCCTCTTTGTACATTTAAAGCTTTACAGGGACAGAACCAAAATTCTTCCAAGTACATCATCTCTTAGATAAAGTCTACATTAGCTGTTTGTAAATGCAATTCAGATCACGCAATGAAAGGGAGGAAAAATCACCATGACTCACCAAGACATCCACAGCAAGTTTCAAGCTCAAAAGTAACGGATCACCATCTGGTCCGGCAATATTATTGAGTAAAACATCTGGGAATGCGTTAGATCCAATATAGTACCTGACATGAAAAAAATGCTCAGCAAGCAGAATAAAAAATACACGATGGGATCAGTGCACAAAAAAAAAAAAAAAAAAAAACACACACACACACACACACACTGAGAGAATGGTAAGTTGCTTTCCCTCTGCCCGTTTTTTGATTCGTGATTCATAAATGTCATTCTTTAGTAAAATTTAAAATACATCATAGCAAAAGACGTTTCAGATCCAAAGATCACAGATAAGGGGGTGAAAACTTATGCAGAATTGTGTTCGTTTTAAGGATCCTTAAAATGAAGGATTGCTAAATTGAGGAGGGGAAAAGAAGAAGGGAAAGACATACCAAAATGCAAATGTTGCAGCTGACAAAGTCATTACGCTGTAAACAAATGGCCCAGCTATTTTATCAGCCAGCCTCTGTATGGGTGCTTCATGGCCTTGAGCATCTTCAACCTGAAAATTACAATATAGCGCACTGAAATGTAGTACAAGCTATCAGCATATGCTCCGTTTGCAATCCGTTCAATTCTATGCACTTATTAACTTTCAAGTGTCGAGTATTTAATTCAATCCATGTCTATTGTTTAGTTATTACGGAATGTAATAGCAATCTTCAAAATGTTATTTTATTTGAGATTTGTAATCTTATTGCAAGAGGGGGAGAAACTTTTCACGCAACTATCAGATGACAAGGTATCGTGTGCTTATGTGTCTGCACCTTCCTTTCATTTGGAATGTCATAAAAGGAGCAGCTATTGCATACATGCTCATTGAGGATCTGAGTGCTATAGCAACATAACAGAAGAGTGAACAACGCTTTCCTATAATTCTTCGGCAAAAAAGTTCCTTTGATTAACTTCCCCCACAAAAAGAAAGCTCTCCGTACATTATGGACCCACACACTATAGGCTTGCAAGAGCATATGAAGACAACAAGTGCCCATAAAAAGGGTAATGTTGTGAGCCACGTAAGATTGGTTCACAAAAAAATGACAAAAATAAGTAATCAAGAAACGATTGTCCACCCCTTTCATCATAACTGTATCCCATAGCAGTACCTCAGAGTCAGAGTTATCAGTAAAAGTAGAGTTTACTAACCATACGGACAATCTTGGCTATTGTTGAATTAGTTCCAGTTGAAGTTGCTTCAATCCTTAAAGGACCATCCTGAAATAAATGAACAGTTGACAAACTAAACTTCAGGGAAAAAAGACAAAACATAAATCAAATTTTAAATTGCTTCTAGGAAAAAAATCATCTTGCATGGACTTTGAAATTCGGCCTAATCTGTCAATAAAACCTACAAAGGTCAAGCTAAATAGCATGCAAAATAAATTTTGGCATCATTGGCCTTGTGTCCTAGATCTCATGACAAAACTGAAATTGGAGATCTCATGTTTGTTTTAAGATTGGAATCTGAATCAGAATTTCACTAACTAGAATTCAAGAAAGAAATAAAATAGAAAACCGTACACATAAAATAACACAACAAAATTATTCATGATTCTCTATGCAAAATAATCATACCCAGTTAATTGTTCCAGCTGATACAGAAAGACCTTCTTCCTTGAACACGGGAAGTGATTCTCCTGTGAGCATGGATTCATCCACAACACTTCTTCCTGCAAGAACTTTTCCCTGTATCCAAGTGTTATTTCAACTGATGTTCAATCATTTCAAAGCTTCACAAACAGAAAAAGTAAAGATGCTATCATCTTAATCACCATACGAGGCCCTTTTTTTTTTTTTTCTTCTTCCTTTTTCCTCCTTTTGAGATAACATGAGGCCTTTTCCAGTAACCAGAAAGCTGGATAAATAAATTTTAGAACTCAGACTAACTTCAACCACAAGTTTCAGGAGTTTTGCTAAAAATTTTATAAAGACCTGTGATCACATCATTGACGGCTTAAAACACCAAACAAAATAAGATAAAATGATAACAAACAGAGTTGAAGGTGCATTTAGAAACATGGAAGTTCAAAATCAGAATGCTTACATCTACAGGTATGGTCTCCCCAGGCAAAACCAACACTGAGTCCCCAACTCGAATGTCATCAGTTAGGACCTCTACACATACAGAGTCAGAGCAAAGCACATTTTTGGTTGAGGATTCACTTTCTGAGGAAGTAATCACAAGCCTTGACCGAGTGGATATGAGTGACTGCAAAATAGCAGAACAAGCAAACAAATTAGTTAGCATAAACCCGTCTCCTTAGTTCATGAGTTTGAATCACAGACATGAACGAGATTTTAGATTACCAAAAGTTCATTCATATCACTAGAAGCTCTGAGCCTTGCCCTCTCTTCCAGAGAACGTCCTAGGAGCACAAAACCAAGAAGCATGACCTGCATGCTAAAAAAAAGAGTTTTATGTGAAAAATTTATCATTAAAGCAAAGGGCCAAAGTCACACACTCACACCTACTAGATTAGAACATATAGACAATAAACAAGGCCAGCCAATCATCAAAAAATTAATGACCTTCTACTACAAAAATTGATCAAAACTAAGTTCTTTGAAGAGAAAATAACAAAGAGTGAAGCCAAAAAAGTCACCGGTTCATCAAAAAATGAAGCATCCCACTGAAGCTCAGGGTTAAGGAGCGAGACCTACAATTGTTAAGCAATTTAAGAAGAAATAGTTACAACCACAAACAAAATGGAACAACCTAAGAAATGACAACAAAAAAGGTTATCAGCTTTTCCCACCGCACTAATGGCAAATGCAGCTAAAGATCCAAATCCGACGAGTGAATTCATGTTAGGGGAACCCTTCCTTAATGCCCTAAGACCATCAAAAAGCAGGTCTGCAAAACGTTTTAGAGCTCTTAGACAACAAATCATATGACATTTGACCATCATATCATGCTAGAAAGAAAGTCTCATATCAGATCTTGCTAGGATGAAGACATTTACAAAATATGACAACGGTTTGGCCGGAAAGTAAAACATTACAATGAGCCATAGCTTACCTATTGGACATATCCCAATAAATTAAATAAATTCTAAAATCATCGAAATCTTTCAATTGAAGCATGCTTTTAAAAAAGAAAATGCATTGAGATAAAACCAACAAAAGAAAAGGAGTCCCAGAGCTCTACCAACCTCGTCCTGGTCCCAGCAAAGCGCTCAAAGCCAGACCACCCTTCAGATACGAATTGTGAAGTACCTCGAAAAACGATCCTAATTCAACAAAATACCAGCCAACGAAAATTAAAGGCATTACCAACTAGCCATTTGCATACAGCAATTCAGGACTTAACTTGAAAAACAAGAAAGAAATTAAGCACATAGGTATGAAATTCCGGAATTAACTTGAGCACTAAGCCAATCATTAGTTGAGAAAGAAAAAAAAATTTCCAAAGGGCGCCATTACCATGAGCAACATGAATTCCGAAGGAATGCAAAAGATGTGAAGCGTGCGATCCACAGCACAAGGCCACCAAAGTCCAAGCAAAGGCCACGCGATTCCGACTTCTCACGAGAAGTTCTTCCTTCTTCTTCTGCATCTCCTTCCACTTCCTCACATTCTCAGCCACTCCAGCTCCGGAAACCCTCCTCTTCGACGAGAATCCGCACTCCGTCAACCTCCGGGCCAAGCTGTCCGCCACATTCGCGGCCGAGAATCCCGCCTCCGCCGCCACCTCCGGCTTCAGCTTGATCGCCGCCGTCTCGGTCAACATGTTGACCGCCGCCGATTCGATTCGCTCGTCGGAGGAGAGCACCGATCTGACTCGGGAGACGCATCCACCGCACATCATCCCGGACACGTCGAGCAGAATCGAGGACTCTCCTCCGCGCGATTCCTGTTCGGAGGCCGATTCCTGAGTAGATGTCTTCGTCTGGAGAGAGCTGGAGGGGACGAAGCTGGGATTCGACTTTGACGGGAGAAGATATCGCCGTCCATTGAGAGGGAGCGCCTTGGGGATACGACGTCTTTGCGGGAGAAGAGGCCTGAAGCCAAAACGATCGCTATTGGAGTTAGCGCCATGGCCGAAGCGGAGCTTCGGCGGAGGCAGAAGAGAAATGGTCAGAAAACCAGTAGTCATGAATAGAAAAATTCGGACATCCAAATTTTAGAGAGAGAAAGAGGAGAGAAGGAGAAGGAGAATATTGCGATTTTGTTCGGAGACAGGTTGGTCGGAAAAAAGGAGCAGGAAAGATGAAAGACACGAAAATCATGTGGCGCGGAGGAGAATTAACTTTGACCCTGTATTGGTTCTCGTCACAGATAGACGTTTGTTTTATGAATTTATGTGACGTTTGTTAATAGTAATCAGCTATAATATTTTTTAAAAAAAATTAAAAATAATTTTAATTTTATGATTTTAATTGATGAAGTAAACATCTTTTTAAAATTATTTTTAATTTATATGTATTTTTTATTAAAAAAAATATTATAACAAATAATAAATTACGATCATAGTCAGAACTCAGCTAAGATACCGTGACCGTGATGACCGCCATGGCAGTTTAGCACTGCCCCGTAAAGAAAGGGTGGCGCTTATTTAATGCAATTTGCAATAGTAGCTGGGAATTATTATCATTACTTATTTGAGAATAAGACTGTAGATTAAGGCTTGTTCTTTTAGAGTTTAATTTGAGTATAATTTTTGAATTGAATTTGAGTTATAATTTGAGTTGAATTTATAACTTGAGTTTATGTTTAATTGTGTACATTTGAGTTATAGTTTGAGATAATAATCTTTTTGAGTTTGTGTTTGAGTGAGTCAAAACTTGAATTTGTATTTAGATAGTATTTTAATAAAAACTCAATGCTGATGAAAAATTTTAATAGGGTATATGAATTGAGTTTTATTCTTCTTTTCGTTGTCAACGTATAGAAAAAAAATCATCTCAATCAAAATTAAAATGAAAAAGTTATAACATTTTTAAGAATATAAAAAATACTGTTCATTAAATTGAGTTCGAGTTTCTGAACTCGAGTTGAAGGGGAAACTTGAACTTGAGTTTTAGTCCTAAACTCGAGTTTGAACTCGAGTTTAAACTTAAAAAAATATGAACTCGAATAAAGTTGTAACTCGAATTATTTTTTTTTAATTTTTCACTCAAAAGAACAAGCCTTTAAGAGTGGTTGAGATGTAATTCGCCACGTTTTATTAACAAATCTCATGATAAAATGATGGAATGATAAAAATATCAGAGGCTGGTTTCTTTATATTAAAAAATAGACGCTATGGCCTCACTAGTGACCCACTTCAGGCCAATCAGTTTACTTTATGGTCATATTTTTTTTATTCAATTTTTAAAAAAAAATTATGGTATGGCCGCATGCTCTGTTTAAATTAAAAAAAATAGAAAATCTATTATTTTTATCTTTTAGTTTTGATAAATAATTTTTTATTAATATAATTATTTAACTAAAAAGGTTATAAATTAAGAATAAAGAGAAAAAATTTTGATTTATACATTTTTAAAAAGTATTTACCAAAATTATAAAAAAAAAATGATAATATAAGGTCCAACTCAAACTCAAAGTGGGTTTATCGGTCACAAACATAATCTAACATAAAACCACGTTAACTCTATTGTGAGGGATAGAGTTCAAATCTCCTGGACTGCGTTTAAAAAAAAGAGAGAAAGAGATAAATAGGTTAAGACTTGAGATGAATTAAAATTAATAAGTTAATAGTTTACATAAGTTAATAAATATATCAAATTATTATTTTTGTCCATAACTTGTCTGGTTATGGACCATAACTTGATAAGTTATTGTCTATAATTCACAGTTTTTGTCCATAACTTGTCTGACTATGAACCATAACTTGACAAGTTTATCTATAACTTATCTAGTTATGAACAATAACTTGACAAGTTATTACCTATTAATTTTTATAATTAAAAATTAGCCTATATATTTTCTTAAGTTTTTCATATTGACCTATTTTCGTAAAAAAAATAAATAAAAGTGCAAGACAATCTAAAAAAAGGGTACAATGGCAATGCTTTTTATGACGAATTTCACGGCATCTAATAACATTTTGTTTAAGGAAACATCCTAGGAGACAAGTTTCATTCATTAAATTATCAATGACACTAATATTTTGTTAATCTGACATTCCTTATAAAAAAAAAAAATATCAATAACACTAACATTTTGTTCACGTTATAAAAGGTTCCCTAGGAAACAAGGTTCATTCATCGAATCATCAAGTTTCATTCATTAAAAATAGAATCACATCCACTAATATTTTGGGTTCCATTAAAGGAGATTACACTTTTATTTATGAACCAGAGTATCCAATTTATGATTACTAGTTTTCCTTTTTAAAATGTATTTGGACAATTGAGCACGCGTTATCACGTGATTTGTCACAGTTAACTTGTAAACCAATAAAATGAATATTTTGTCACCGTTTATGTAGACTAATATGATGTAGTTGTTATTTTTGTAAAATGAGAACATGTCATAATTGAAGATGAAGTGTGATTAGTCCAACGAAATAAAGCAAAAGGAAGGTGCCAACATCGAAATTCTGAATCTTTTTCTATTAACTGATGTATTAGTTTATTGACGAGTTGCACCCTATTTTTTTTTTTTTAAATGAATAGGATACTACCTTATTCCTCTTTAAAATATGCATTTATTTATTTTTTGATAGTGTTAGAAATATGTGATTAAACACAAATATATAAGGGACTAAGTAGAGATATGCATTAGTCGGTTTTCGCCGGTCTTGCTTCGGTCGGTCATCAAAATCGAAAGTTTATTTTTTTGCATAAAATTAAAACTGAAACCGTTCAAGAAAAGGAAAAATTATGGCTTAACTAAATCATACAAAGTCAGTCAGTTCGGTTCAATTTTTTAGCTTTTCAATTTTTCACAATTCTTCTCCCTACTTAATCGGCTAATCCTCGTCCTATTTCAAATAATGGTTAATCCTCATTCTATTTCAAATAGAAAAAAAATGAAAATTTACATGAGGAACGATGACCAAATTGGCAGAGAACATACACGGTGCGGTGGGCGCTTCAAAGCGACAAGGAGGGACGAGGCCAGGCCATAGGGGGGAAGGGGGAGGCCGGAAGTCCTATCAAGTGCCAACAAGTTACAGACAGTGGGATTTGGGAGCCTGGGAGGTGTTTGGGTTCAAATATGAAAGGACCAAGGAAGACAGACAGAAGGGGCGTCGCAAATTGAGAAAAGAAAGGAGAAAAAAAACTCTAGGCTAAAGTGAACTAAACTATTAATATTATTTAAAATATTTTAAATGTTTTTAAAAAAGTTAGTTCGAATTTAGTAAAATAAAAGGCTAAGCCTGTTCACTTTACTAATTCAAGTTTATAATTTGAGTTGAAATGTGATTTTATGTGAGAACTTTTTACTGTAGCAAAAAAGTTAAATTTGACTATTTCTGAGAGCTTTTTACTGTAATAAAACTCAAATTTTAAACTCAAATCGATGAAGTGAATATGGTATAATTTAAGATTGTATTCTCGATTCGGTTAACCGACTAAAAAATTAGTGTTGCCATGGCACCCGTTACTTTAGTCAGTTTCGGTCAATTATTATCAATGCTGCTCAATTTACGGTTATTTTGTACAGTCCGCAGACTAAGGGAGTGACTATAATGAGTATTTATTTACTTTTCGAGGGAGGGTGAATATAAAATAAACACATTCACGTTCCTCCCACTGCTTAGAGAGGAATTAAAACAAAAGGTCAAAAGGTCAAAAACATGTAAGAAAACGTCGTCGTATGGAGAAGCACAACCCCAACGGTCCACGGATATCCAGATATCTCGTCACGTCCCGCTTTTCCTGATCCACGCGTTATGCGTTATCTCCTTCTTCAGCGTCACATAGCCCTTTTGCAGTGAGAGAGCTTAGAGCACTCTAAAAATGGCTCCGAGCGAGTCCTCGTCCTCCGACAACTCAAACCACACGGCCTCCAACTTCGTCACCAACTGCGGACTGTTACTCTCTTCCGCCAAATTCGACCCCTTTCTCAGATCACCATTATCGTCTAAGAAGCCCAATTTTGGTCCTCCGAACATCCTCCTCATCGGCGATCATCTACAAAGCTCAATCGCCTCCGCCGCCACAAAATGTCTCAGATTTTTTCACTCGTTTGCTTCTCAGAATCCGCTTCTCCAGAAAGCTCTCTCTTTGCCCCACGAATTCCACAGTTTCTGCCACCAGGTGAACTATATACATACATACATATATATATATATATATATTTCTCTGTTTTTGTCTGGAAAAGGCAAAAGCTTTGTTTGAATTGGCGTGATTGATTACTTCCTTCAGATTCGTTGCAGAAGCTACAGGAATGTTAATTCCATATCGAGTCACAATTTCGCCGCGGTTCTACCGGGCGATTCCGTGGCTGGACTTGTAGTTGCGAATGGAATTATCAATTTCCTCAACATTTACAACACGGTGCTCATTGTCAGGCTCGTCTTGACCTGGTTCCCTAACGTCCCTCCCTTCATCGTTAGCCCTCTCAGGTTTGAAATACTCCCAAACATTGTCTTGAATTTAGTTCAATTGATGTTTAGTAGATGAGCGAGTTACTTTTGTGTCGTTTGGTTCGTAAGTTAGAACAGAAATTTAAAATTTTTTGAGTGAAAACACAAGACGCCTTTATATTTGAGCTTTGGGTTTTAGTTCCGCGGGATGCAATTAAGAAAAAATAGAAGTTCTTTGGTGCGTGCGCGCCTTGGATTTACTTGACAATGGGTATGTTTGGTAGTAATTTTTGGAGCTCAAAATTAATTCTCTAGTCATTTATAGTTGAAATTTGTGTTTAATTTTATGATTCTTAAAGAATTTTTAAAGAATTTACAGTTAAAATCAGAAGCAGTCTAAAGACAATTTTGGCTTCTAAATTGTGAAATAATCACATTGAAGTATAATTAATAAAATTTTTATAATATTCATAATACCTTTAGAATTAATACTTATATAATTACAGTTTATTAAACACTTAGTTACTTTTTATATTAGTTGTTTTTTTTCAGCATAGCTAACAAAATTTTTTCTAAAATCTATAGTACTACTAAGGTTTTGTTCGCTTCGCGGATTTGAATTTTTAATTCGAGTTGAGATGTGACATTTTCTTAGAGCTTTTAACTGTAGCAGAAAAAGTTAGATGTGATATTTTCTGAGAGTTTTTAACTGAAAAAACTTATAATTGAAAACTCGAATTGGCGAAATGAACGATGCCTAAATTGACCCAAAAAATGTGAGGCTTTGGAATAGCAAAAGAAGAATTAAATGTAGAAGCAGAAGTAAAAAAATGTAAACATTTAGGACCCGTTTAGTTTGATAATTCGAGTTGAGATGACTTTATGTGAGTTTTTTACTGTAGTAAAAAGTTAGATGTGATTGTTTCTGAGAATTTTTTACTGTAACAAAACTCGAATTAGTGAAATGAATGAGGCCTTAAGCTTTTCTGAGTATCTAGTAATACTGTTTGTGCAAGATGTGTTTATGCACTTTTTACTTAACATTACTACTTATATCGTGTTATGCGCATTAGAAGTTACAAAAGTTGTACCAAAGTAGCCCAAGTTATAATTTGGATGTCATAAAAAAAAAGTATGTAGTTTAAATGGTTATCACTATTAGTCCATGATTTTAGTACCATAGTGCTTAAACATGGTTGGTTAAAGTGAATGCTAATGCAATAACTATACCTAAAATGCAGCACAATTTGTGACCCATACTTGAACATATTCCGTGGGATCATTCCACCACTAGGAGGGACACTGGACCTCTCTCCCATTCTGGCATTCCTTGTTCTTAACGCCTTTACTAGCACTGCTGCTGCTCTTCCTGCTGAACTTCCCGCCGCGGAATCAAACCAACAGACTTGTTCTTCATCATTTTCCGATCTCACTTCTTCGGAGAAGAAATGGATGCGGAGGCTTCATGGTGGAAACGGAACAAAGAGCTAGATATTCTTCCCATCTTAACATGTAACGCTTTTACCATTTTCAAAGTTTCATATCAGGCACAGCCCAAAATTGTTTTGGTATCTCTGACCTGGTAGAGATATGAATGGCTTCTCTCAAAAAAAAAAAAAAATTTTTTTTTTTCTTTTGATCCTGTATTGTTCACTCATAGTGGTTTGGAAGACTTCATTTGTTAATTTATGTAAACGCAGACTTTATGGATGTGTGCGAATTTTGAGGAATACCGAGGCACATGTGGAATCTGATTCCAGACTATTATGGAACTGTAGGCAGCACCAAATATATATTCTTGTTAATGGAGAGTTGTCTATTCCTTGCAGGAGCTTGTTCACATTTATAGTATCTCATCACTCCGAAACTTCACGATTAAGCTGTCGATTCTAACGCCTGAAATTATTTTATCATCTCCTGGTTTCAGAAAGCATTCTTTGGGGAGTATAAAGTAACTTTTTTTCCCCAGTAGATTATAGAAAATCCTAAAGTAAGTTTTTATGGCAAAAGATAATTATTTCGATTCGAAGGGATAGACGGTAGAGAGTTCAAAAGTCTAAGCGGAGGGACCCTCTCATCACAGCCCCTTCAACCCCACTTAGTAATTATTCATTTTTACTTTATATGACCTTAAAAATCATTGATGTTACGGAGAAAAACAGTGGTCGACTGAAAACATGTCAAGCTAGTAATCAACACTGTGTTGTATTCCCTCTAGAAAAGCAAACGAATCAGGGTTAAATTTGGTGGTCAGATTGCATTTTTTAGTGGAATCTGAGTTCTCTAGAAGCTCTGAAATCTGAATGGAGCTTGGAGCTACATGGAGGAAAAGCAGGTTTTCTTCGTACGAGAGATTGGTGGCCATAGGCCTGGCCCTTCTTGCTGTGCTTTCTCCGCTCTACATTGATCGGAGAGAGGCGGACGATTCAGATCTCAATGAGGCCTCCATAAGCTTGGTCTCTTCGTTGCCTCTTTTGCTCTTACTCCTGATCTCGGCCATAGCCTTGTCCCTCTTCTTGGACAGAAGCTTCACCAGGTTTGATCCTTACTGGATTCACAGGGTTGGTGGTTCTTCTTGTGGGATTCTTGTAATTCTCTTGGTTCTGGCTCTGGTTATCAGTCTAAAGCATCTCTAAGGTACTTGGACGGAGTTTCTGTTCAACTGGTAATTAGGAAGAATAAGTGGCTTCCTAGTTTTACAAATCGTATTTCTTGTATCTCTCTCTTTATCAAGTTTTTAAGTTCTTTGTTTCTTCCCGTTTGGATTAAAATACAAAGCCCTTTTAGATCTAAAGGTAACAAATATTTCAACTTTTAGATATTGCTGTATTGACTCTTTCTGTGGACATGTTTTCCGGGAATTAGTCATCAGAACTCGCGCAGTATTTAACTTGTTTAAGCTTCTTTAACCGTTTCAGAGTCGTTGTACTAAAGTAATTTGCGCGTGATTAAGATAATCACAAATCACGACAATCTGTTTATAAATCGTGAACTTCACCTCTGCATAGTTGTTTAGCTTGGTTTTGTTCTAAGAACATTATTTTATGCAGTTCGGACGGTAATTTCAATATGCGGAAACAAAAAGAAAAAAAAAATGCATATCTATTAGAGGAATCCAAAGAAGATGAAAGCAGTACTAAATAGGTGGCGAGGAAAGCAAATTTGGCTAGTTAACGCTGATGCTTGGATTTTCAGAGCCGAAAAACAAGAGTTTATCATCCTTAGAAAATCCATGCAATACATAATTTTACACCGTGAAGAGAACTGAAGAAATGAATGGCGTGGATCTCGCACTTACACTCTCTACATCCAATCAAAATGAGAAATAGCAAACATACAACTGAGGCCAAGCCTATGAATGCAACAAACAAAAAGAAAAGAGGCCTCCAAATCAATTGAAATAACAGTACTTCGGATTCGTACAAGACATGATCATAACGCGAAGGCGTATCCCACTGCAGCCAAAGCCGTAACAACAAATTGCCACAAGTGAATGCTTCTGGACCAATCGCCGGCGCTACACACATCATTAGCGCCACTGAAGCATCCGGGCTTTGTTATTTTTGCCACACTTCCCGCTAGAACAAAGCTGCTGTTCTTTTTGCCACCGCTAAACAAGACACACCAGAAATAGGGGCCCCCTCCATCAGAGCCACTCACAGCAGCTCCCACTTCAGTATGATTCTTGCTATAGACTATCTCTAAGCTCTTCTCATTTTTCATCAGGATTTCCGAAAATGCTTTCTGAGGGCTGACATAATGAGACTGGCAGCCGAGCAAACGGCCGGTGAGCGGAGAGAGGGTTGAGACCTCAACGCCACAATTGGGGGCGAAAGTTTCAGCAAATAAGGAATCGGAAGGCTTCTTGGCGTCTGACCCTCCTACCGCGCCACAATCACCTTGGTAGGCTTTTATGTACTGGAGAGCTATGCAGGCCAGACCTTGATTGCTATAGAGGGACGACGACTTGTGTGCAGTTCTATTTGCGTCAATCTCCGCAACTAACTGATCCGCGGGATTATCAGTAACTTTCACTGCAAGTTTTTATTGATGTTGTCAGAAAAGCCAAATGCAATTCCTTTGAGCACAAAATAAGCAACCAAATTTGAGTGCACACAACAGAATGAAAGTTGAATTGAATCCAAGAAAGCTAAATGATTAAAAGTTACAAGGCTTAATTAAACCGAGAAAGGTACGAATAAGTCGGGAGACTGTAAGCACAAAGAATACCAAGAGCTTAGTAATATGCCCTATTGAATCAGTGTGTGGGTTTATAAATCTACATACGTATAGAAAAACACTCATTACACAATAAGTTGGATGGAAAAGGCCAGTGAAACACATTATTCAAAGGTCAAAACTCAAAAACCAAATTTTCATGAAGCAAAATAATCATGCGCAAAGTATAGTCCAATCTGGGATTTGTTCAAGCCTAAATAAAGGTTAGTAAATGCAAATACGCTCACAAACCACAAGAAAAGATAATTCCTTTTCGGCTTTCATAAAGAATGCTGATTTTCCAAGTAATGTACTTCCACTCGCCCCTCAAGAAAATAATAATAAAAATGAAATGATAGTGAAGCTCTCAAATTTCTTTATTCCGTCATTTCTGGGTCAAATTATAACTAGATTGTCTCTTTTTTTTCTTTAATCGCTTTTGCAAAGATAAAACTGAAGACACCGATTGATCTTAATCAAGGAGATCAACATAGAACTACGCAAAAATGCCAAATGGCAGAGAAAAGAATATAAGCAAGAAAAATCGAAGACGGAAATGATAAAACAGAGGACTCTAGATTCTAGGAGTCGTCAAAGCAGATCCAGCATTTGATATCTCACACAAACACATTTCTAAAATCCACATTATCGAAATCTTAACACTAGACTCAAAACCTTGGAAATGCACAAATCCATAAGAAAAGAAAATGCAGATTTGGACCCAAAAAAGAAAAAAAAAAAACAGACAAAGAAATACCATGGGTGTTAGAAGCAACAGCAGCGGAGAGGAAGAGAAGAGAAAGTAGAATAGGCCACGCAATTTTCGCCATTGAAGCTGGTCTTCTACTTTCAACACAGAGAGAGAGAGAGATCAGATATGTGAAGAGAGAAGATGAGTCAGTGGTAAGTCGACTTCAAATCCAGTGTGTACTATACTTAAAGATAACATATATATATTTTTTTTTTTTTTATTCTAAAAATAAAATATGGCTAATTCTATTTTGTCTATGAATTATAAGTTAAATTTTATATTAGTTCTTAACTTCTAAAACTTTTCAAAATAAGTCCTTTGATTTATACAACTATTCCCCGTTCATTTCACCGATTCGAGTTTTGTTATAGTAAAAAGCTCTTAGAAATAGTCACATCTAACTTTTTTACTGCAATAAAAAATTCTCACATAAAGTCACATTTCAACTTGAATTAAAAATTTGAATCATCGAACTAAACGAGCCAAAGTAATGTTCTGTCTATATGACTGCAAAGTCTGCAACTTAGCAAAGTTTAATTTTATAATTTTCCATGTTAGGTACGATAATTTGTATCTTTTTCAATCCAGATTTTAATAGTTAAAACATAAAAAAATGGTTAATTTTGGATAACTTTAGGGTTCGTTTAGTATGAGGGTTCAAACCAGGGTGATTCTAGTTTTGATTTTAGAACCATAACCATAATTCATGATTTTGGGTCTAAATCATGATTCTGAAATCATAATCAGGGGTTTGAACCACCTAAAACTAAGGGATAGTGATTTTAGAATTAGAGATGATTCATGGTTCAAAACATCACATCAAAATTCAAATCTTAAATATAAAATACTGATTCTAAATGAATCAAAGTAGAATCATTTTTTATTTTTTATAAATAAATGCTGACTCTGAATCAGAATCATAGTTTCGGTTCAGAACCCTTGTACTAAATAACACCTTCGTTCCCGGACTTGTTCTCAAATGTTTTAAAATCAGGGATAAAAAAAAATCGAGTGTAGATTGGGGACTGAAAAGAGAATTAACCCAATAAAATGATAATAATAATTGTCACCCACCGTCAGCCGAGGCATAACTAACGCACTTGTGAATTCCGGAAATATGTAGGGGTAAATGAGTAGTTTCATACACCGAAATTGTTTGATGGTAAGGAGAGGCGAACGGATAATGTAATGGGGACAGGGCGAAATGGCGAGAGTGAGAACTCGGTCGGTGAGATGCTCTGATGATGTTGGCGATGGCTATGGCGATGTCGAGAGTTGGGAACCCTCCGCACAATTTGTCGGTTTGGCGTCGTAATTTCGCCGGAAAAGTGAAGAAGTGTCGGCCGGTGACGTACGCGTCGGTTTCGCCCTCTGATTGGCGGGAGAGTCGACGATTGGTCTCCATTTCTCTCGTTCTCTCTCACTCTCTCCTTATCCCTCATCGTACGAATTCTCTCTTTCATCCATCTGTTTGGTTTGCGAGAAAACTTTTTCCAAGTCGATATATTTCTTGCTTCATGCTAATTAGTGAAAAGGAATCAAACAGAGGTGCTGCTAGATAATTGAAGTTTTATTTTTCATCTGTTAGGATAAAGTTTTGGTTTTGTATGGTTTCAGAAGAGAAATTCTGAGACAGAATTAATGTTTTGATAGATGTTCTTGCGTCTTCCTGATAAACAAACGGATCATAATGTGAGTAGACCAACTATTTGAGGATAGCGGAAGTTAGCACTTTTTCAGGGATCATTATAGTTGTGAATTAAACTGGCTGTCCAAAGTCCAAAAAGATCAACTTTTTTTCGGTTAATGTAGTTATTAATTTGGGCTATGTGGATCAGTTGAGTGGGAGCCTGTAAATTTTCTCGGCAAGCAAACACAAGTCTTATGATTGTTGTTTTGTGTTTTTCTGCAGACGCTATTGCGGGTAGCATTTTTGATAGATATGTGAAAAGGTAATTACTGAACAGTTTTAGTAGTAACTTATGGTTTCCAAAAGCACTAATTCTCCTAAAATATTGTAACCAGGAAAAGGCTTGATCCCTTGGACGCTTATGTACCAGCTTTGATATTAAGCCAGTTGCAGATTAAGGACTTGGGTAATTGATTTTTGTTCACCGAGATTTTTTTTTTTTTACCTCAAATTTAGTTTCCGCTTGCTAGGAGTTGCAACAAGTGGCTTATTTCCAATTTTGCTTGATTTCAGATCATTTTTATGTCTTGGATTGTGACCAAGTAAATTGTATACCTGTCCAACTATTAGTAACTGAGACTGTCTGATGATCAGTCTTCAAGCTCTTCTTAAATTTAGTATTCTCTTAAACTTGCAGATAAATTATTGGAAGGAGATCAGCCTCAATATGCTTCTTTTCGATCTCTACTTCGTTCTGGCCCCGCAGCTTCACTTCGTGTAAATATACGTGCGGTAAGCATTCCTCGTGTTTTGATCTTTCGATCGCCCTTAATATGTACGAGTTTCCTAGATTTCTTCCAAATTCGAAGTACCTTTTTATGCTTTATACCAAATTCAACTAGGTTGGTTGCTCTGGTCCCTTGATCTTCTCCTTTCTTAGTTGATTTCCTCAACGTATGGGTTCAAGCTCTTATTTGTGTTGACAAATATGTATATTTGTACATAGAATTTTTTGACAGAGATGCCGCTGTACTTTTTGCTATCATGTTGTCTGGGGCTCTGTTGTTGTTGTCACTATGCGATACAGAAAATATATCAGCATCATCACTATGCATGCTTATTTCCATTTGCTTTATGGCAGTTTTTATGTTCATGAGTTCCTAAGAGCTTTGGGAATTTTCTTCTGCACTTTAGGTAGCACAATATGCTTCAGAGAGTGGAAATGGTAAAACTGCTTTTAACGATGTTGACCAATGTCTCAGGTACCCACTGCCACTTTCTGGTATTTATGTAGATAGGACTTAAAACCGAGAACTATAGAATCTAATCTGGTTTAAACAGAAGAATAACTAAACTGCAACAATTAAAAATGAAGATTCAACCAAGAATGTCCATTAGTTTGTTGTTGATATCAGCCATCCAGTATGATATAAGTGACATATCTGCTTCTGAAGGGCCTTGGAGGAACTTGACTCCTTGCTTTTGCACGCATCAAGAAACGACCCAGAAGCTTCAGTCAAGTCAATGAAGGCAAAGATTAATGTTGCCCTTGATTCTTTGGACGGGTAATTCGTTGTTGTTATTGGTTATTTCTTTACACCAAGAAGTTTCACAATTTCTAAAAGGGGTTTCCTTTTAACAGCCTCCTCAAAACTGTGCCTCCGGATGTGCTGGATAAAGGGCTGGCGATCGCGGATTCATATAGAAACTCCGACGAAGAGATCAATAGCGATGTTGTTGACCCGGAACTCCAGCAGTTGGAATCAATTCTATGAATTCGTCTGTGAAATACTGCTCTAACAATAATTAAGAACGATACCTACTGGCCAAAATGGCAACTCAACGAGAGAGAGGAAACGACTACACCGGTCTGTATTCTGAAAGGGATGGTAACATAGTAAGAGAAGAACGGCATTTTTTTTTTTCCGTAAACTTTTAATTTCGTATAGTGTATTAGCATAAAAGCATGATAAATGTTGAGGTTTGCCGTGCATTTGAGTTTTTTTTTTTGTTTTATTTAAAATAAACGACATCCTTTTTTCCCAAGGTTTGATGTCGCTGGAGTTGGAAGTCTGAGTTCATTGTTAAAAAAGTTTGATGTCGTTTATCGTGCGGAGTGCACGTCGTTCGTTCTCGTACAATATATCTTTCTTTTGGCTAAATAACATCGTTTTCACTATCGTGTTAAGTGCGACGCCATGGTGTTCATCCTCCAGAATTTTGTCCCCTTTGTGAAAAAAAAAAAAAGGAAACAAGGGTGTCGTCTGGTATTGTATTCTTTTGTGTTTTAAAACGTTTATGCATGTCTTTTAAGTAGGGAAATGAAAACGGTTTTTAAACCGTATTTAATTAGTAAATACTTTGAAAATGATAATGAAAACAAAAAATAACGTGTAAATGGTTTTTTTTAAATGGAAAATTGTTGAAAATTATTTTTGCATTTTTATTATCATTTTCTAAGACTATAACTTAATACACATTTTTAAAAACATATTTAAATACAATTTCACCTTTTTATTCTTAAAAAAATCTCTAAGAAACCATACAAAAAATATTTTCATTTTTATTTTCACACTCAGGTGAAAAATTACCAAATGGCCCCTTTGATTTTGACTCACTTCTACGCAAGACATTCGCTTCTTTTTTTTTTTTCCTTTAATTTACATATTATGTAACCACCGTGCAAAATACCTATTATCATCATTTCTCTTATTAGATAAATGCTAACATTATTTTTTCTATCACTCAGTTTGCCACTCTTCATTCACTGTTCACATAGATTATACTAACTCATTTTATGTTTTCTTATTTGACATGTGCACTCTACTAATATAATATACTATTATTTAAGCAAAAAATGAGATCACAAAGTTTATATGTTAAACAGTGAATGAAGAGAGCGACAAAAAGAATGACGGAGAGAATGACAAAAAAAGTGATAGAATAAGTTATGATAACTTTTCTCTTAATTTTATTATTACTATTATTATTAATATGTTATTATTGGCTTTGAATGCCATGCTAAAAGCCTGCTAGAGAAGGAAACTACCCTCAATACCAATCTTGTAGGTTGCTGTTTAGCATTCAAAGCCTTTTCAGAATTTAGATACACTAACATCTCGACACAAATCGGAAGACAATCATATGTTCTATAAAAATGAAAATAAATAAAAAAATAAAAAGACACCCTCAAGAATACTACCTAGGCTAGAGTAAAACAAATAAATAAAACAAGCACAAGGAAGAGAAATTTGATAAGAAAAGGTCGAAGAAGACGAATAGCAAAGCAGATTATTGCAACTTTTTCTTCTTTTGACAAAAACTTAGAGTCATGCTTCATGCCAAACTTTCATGTGTTTTTGCCTTTTGTTTTTAGGACAATAATTGTGTCGTTTTACAGAGGCTAAACTACTTCAAATACCTATACACCAAGCAACGAAACAATTAGAGTTTTGTATTGGATTCCATCCGTTCAAATAAAAATAAAAATAAAAAGAGGGGGGGAAAAAAGAATTTGTGATGAACAAACAATGATTTAAACATAAACAAACAATTTATTGTAACATTACACAGACAGCTACATCAAATACCTCCTATATACTCGAACAAACAACATCATAAATAGGCGACATCCAATTTACAATACAGGAGACCAAGCGGGCTAGATCACCGAAGCTGCTTTTGCCGCCTGTAAACTTAGTGACACGAAGCCTCCGAGATTAAAAAACAAGTTCTACTGCTTATTACGAATGTGACAAGCTGCTGAAAATTCGCTTCAAACTCAAGCATGCCCCACGTAACCTCCCCATGCTCATTGCGCATATCTGTGTTTTTTTTTTGGTTTGCCAGGTAAGTCACTTTTGTTTTCCGTTATACAAGTACATACACACGCACACATAATATATATATATATATATATAGAGAGAGAGAGAGAGAGGAGGATGCTCTGACCTTGGGACAAAAGCGGACATCAAGGGTCTCCAGCATGCCACATTTGGATATGGCAACTTCTACTGCTTCTTCATCAATATTGCAAGACTAATGAAGGCACATTCAGAAAAGATTATCAGAAAGACTGAAAGAGCATATAACGGGATGGAGTTCGGGGAAGTTGACAACAATAACTGAACAAGCGAAATAATGTATATGCATGTGTACATACAAAGCTTAAATGAAGGAACCCAAGCATTTTTAAGGGATTAATCCTGGTGATTACTTTTGTTTATTATCAAGGAAAAAAAACAATCACCTTCATTACCAGCAGCAGCCACAAGAAAGTGGTGCAAAACATAAATTTTGGAGTAATCTACTTGTACACAGAGCAAGGACACGAAACAAGTCAAAGTTGCATACCTGAAGAAAGAGACTAGTTAATCTAGGACACTCAAGCTTCAAAACCTCCAAAGCGTAACAGTTGCTGAATATACATAAAAGTGAGAGAATAAAAAATCAAACATTGGAACATCACAAAGAAAAACAAGAAATCAAAATAATAAAAAAAGAAGCTAAGTTCACCATATGAACATAAGAATAAAATTTTCACCTCAAATTAAGAAAGCAGAGATTGAAACAAGCAAGATCAACTTCCTTCAGATTAACGGACAGAGAAAGGTTAAGTGATGACAAATGGAAACAACGCGCCGCTGGCAGAATAAGAACTTTTTTAATATTTGGACAACCGACACAGTTGAGGTTCTGCAGCAAGCGATTAGGCAGCTGAATAGCTTCATGGTCACTTCCAGGTGAAAGCAGGTCAGATGGGACAGAAATACTGGGCAGTTCAGAAAGATGCCCACTACAACCCCAGTTCAGGTCATGCATATTCACACAGCCATTCAAGCTCACATGAGTAAGGTGTGTACAGCACGAAAGAAGCTCCTCAATGGCAGACTGACAAAGGGTTCCATAAGACAAATCCAGTTCTTGAAGAGATGGTAGAGCATCTTCCTTGTAAAGAGGTTCCAGGGATGAGTCGGTCAGATACTTGCATGCTTGTAATTTTAACACCTAAAAAAAGGAATAAGCACACGTAAATACCACAAAATATTGATTAGTAAGCAACATCACAATTGACAAAACTTTTTTACAAAAGAAAACTAAATTTGTGCTGCTCAATGTACACAAAAACTTGCCTTCAGTTTCACACATGACTCAAAGACCGGTTGCAAGTTTGTCAAGAATGTGTAGGATAAATCAAGCACAGTCAAATGTTGAAGGCAGCTTAATGAGTAAAGTCCATCAGAGCCAACAGATGGGCATGACATCAATATTAACGACTCAATCTTTGGGCATGACGCAGTTGTTGCAGACAAGCAGTCATCCCTGAGTTGGCTGAACCGAGAACAGATGTTTTAGTTTTAACAACACCAACCCAAGAGAAGGAGAAAGGAGAATGAGGGGAAGAATGGGGAGCCGTTGAAACAAAAGAGTACAGAACAAAGAAAGAACATAACCTGCAAAAGGAAGCATCCAAAGATGTTAAGACTGGACAATTTATGGATGCTTCAGACAACACACCACATCCTTTTAGCTCGAGCAACTCCATATTGGGCGCTTCAATACCAAGCACATTCAGTTTTGGACAGATTCCCAGATTTAGTGACCGAAGGCCGACCTGAAGAAAGGGAGAAGGCAAATTAATTGGAAGAAAAAGGAGAAAAACAGGTCTCCTGATTTTCTACAGGCGAATCAGTAGCAGATATGACTTGCAGCATCTGGACAATGCTACTGGGCCTCATTAGAAATAAATTGGTTATCATAGATACATTAATATTAGTTATACAGAAGAGCAATTTTAACCATTCAATAATCACCCATATAAGTTCCCATTGTTTTAGAATTTCTGTTCTCAACGTGTAAAAACTAAAAGAAAGTCTACAAGCTACATAACAGCAAAGGAATCAATGACCAGTCAACACTTACAGGGCAAAATTCCGCTCTTTCAAGATGATCACAACCATCTAAAGAAACTTTCTCAAGATAGGGGCATTTTAATTCAAGAGAAGTGATTGCCCGGCAGCCATCTAGGGAAAGGTTGACTAAAGAAGTGCTAGAGAAGTGCACTGCTGTTAAGCTCTGGGAAGAGGGAAAAAATCACATTCATCAAGAAGGAAATTAGAATATAACCGTGTAAAATTACTTCCATGAGATACCAATCAATTAGAAAAGCAATATGGCACAAACCTCCCAAAGCAACAACTCTGGCAAACAAATAAAGGGTATATTGCCTCAAGGAATATGACATGAAGAATTCGTGAAATGAAAAGAGACATTAACGAACCTCACAATTAGCAAGAATTAAAGATTTCAGCATAGGGCATCCACCCCCATCACTGAAAACATCACATATAGAGTTTGTCAAAGATTCACAATCCGTAAGGTCCACTTCTTGCAAAGATTGGCATTGCAATGTCAATATGTTTAAGCTTTCTTGCTTTTGCAACGATAGTTTCTGCAACACATGAAATCCAATCATCTTATCGCTCTAATGAAGGGTCCAAAAATCCAATAAAAGAATATAATTGTTTAATCAAAGCACATACTTGAAGTGAATTTGAGGTTATGTTAATCTGCCGGAGCAGAGGGCAATTTGAGACCATTATAGATGACAGCATGAGACTTCGTAAACTAAGCTCAGCAAACCTGAAGGTGATGGACATTAAAATCAAACAAAATGAAGAAAGGAAAAATGAAATTTAAGCCCTTCATTGGGGGGGAAAGAACAAGCCTGGTATTTGGAGGACAAAAAGGAGAAGAGAAGACATACTTGCGACAATGTACTAGTCTGATATTCTGCAAGCGGGGAAGATCCAAAGACACGGAAGCCAATAAGCTGCAATTGTCAAGCACCAAAACCTGCAGAAGACTTTGTTAGATTAAAGTTTAAACCTGTCGAAACCACTCAAGGACCGCTCCAATTGCACAAAATGTAAATATTTCATGCAAGACAGTTCAAACCTCCAACATATAACTGTGAGATATTGCAGCCATTGAAGCTGAAGTTATTCCCTCGCAGCTGTCAAGCTTAAGAACTGTCAACATTGGCAGTCTCACAGACTTCAAAAGGAAAAACAAGAACTATATCAGCCAAAGATGCATACCATCATTGCCCAAACAATAGTGAAAACCTTTGAAAACTAACCTCTAGAGATATATTCGGGCAATAGGAAGCATCAAGAACATGGAGATTGGCACAGGTAAGCGCTATTTCACGTAGTGTTTCATCACTCACACATGAACAATTTGACATGTCTAAAGACTCTAATTGTGGACATGAGGTAGCTGCTGACCGAATAGCAGCATCCGGAAGCTTGTGGCAAGAGCCTATATCAAGATCATGCAAAAGAGGGCAGTTGAGCACTGCCTGCGCCATGTTGCTACGCTTCAAGGACAAAGTTTCAAGTTGTGGACACCTGAACAAGAAGTTTGAGTAAGAAAAAAACACACAGGAAGATTAAAAACCCATGACAAATTGGTTGAACATCAGAAGCCTTTCACCTGATGGATATACGCATCACACGGCACTTTGTCAGCTGAAGATGACGCAACCTGTCATGGTTTATAGGTATCTCCTGAACACCATTACCTAGTGTAGCATCATTGACATTCAATCTCCTCAAGACATGACAATCGGCTAAAGAATGAAAGAAAACATCCCCCAGTTGTCCTCTCCCTAGAGTTAAAACCTCAAGATTTCTGGGAATAATAAACAGAAGAAAATATGTTAGCACAGTAGAGACACTTTGGGAATCATACAGAATCAGGATGTACCTCAATGAAGAGATTGCTCTCATAACAAGTGAGTGGACAGCAGAACCAGAGACATTAACCTCCGTAGCATTGGGATATCGCCGACACATATCCTCAACTGTTATCATAAATTGATAAATGAGTTTTCAATCATCAAATTTCATCTAAACATAACAAGAGTATTTCAACCAGAAGATCATGAAAATATGAACACCGTAATAGAACTAGAATAAGATATCTACCCGGACAAGAACAGTACATTGTAGTAAGACAATTAGACAAACATGTTTTACAGCAGAAGTTTTGAATTAGTGAAATCCATTTGGATCTAGAAGTCTATATTTCAAACCCTCTTGAATCCTTGTGTTCATCAAATGGTGGATACATAATTTCACAACAGAAGAGAACAGAAGCAAAATTTTGAAGACTTGATGAATATCAGAATTGCTTGAGGAAGTCCCACAATGCTCCTTAAAGCCTGTATTTGTCTAGCTTCATATATATCGCATTTATCATGTATTTGTCTAGGGCAATTGTGTGTCTGCGTGGTAGTGTTGTTATCCATTTTCCATTATTTGTAATGTTCTGTATTGGAATGTAATGTAATATAAGCGCATGATCGTCCCACCAGTTTTCCTCTCAACTCCCAAGAGAACTTTTATCTCCTCTTAGGGTCTTTTACATTTATAGTTCTTCCTAAAAATTTCCACCTATTCTCACCTAAAAGTCTCAAGTTGACCGCAACATAATAACAGAAAAGATAGCAGGTTCCACAAAAATTTTACTCACATTGCTCTACAGATATGTTCCGATTCTCAAAATTCAAACATCTCCAGAAATCTTCATGGGCACTAGCAGCTCGCCACTGCCTGCAAACTATAGCCGCTCGGCAAAGATTTATGTGGTCTAAGAAAGAGAAAACCTGAAGACAACAGAGAAAAAGATAAATAAAAGCGGATGCAGAATTTTGTAGCAGAAGTGACAAAGTACCGCCTCCTCAAAGGCAAGAAGGTAAGGCAACATGTACCATATGCAATAAGTCATCTGTAAGATCCATCCGAACTTCTAAATCTTCTGTTTTTGTAGTGCCACTCTCATCTCCTTCATTGTCTTTCCCACCACTAGAGTCGAATGGATTCTCTTCATCAACGTTATTCAGCATAAAAGTGTGATAAAAAATCTCATTCTTGGATGCAACAAAAGAGCCATGAGTAATATCGTAATCTCTATCTCCAGACGAGTTAGAATTTCCAGCAACTGAAGAAATTGCAGTTGAATAACAACACTCACTACAAGAAATTAGAGCAAATCATATATTACTTCTCAGACATGTTCATTAATTCTCCACGCTCCAAACACAACTGTCCAGCAATGACATTGTAAAACAATGTCAGTCAGTACCTCCATTGCCACTTTAACAACATAGCCAAATAGCTTTAAAGATCAGCATTCTCTTTAAAAACAAAACTTAAGCTGCATGTGCATTGCCGGTGCTTTATCAAAAAAAAAAAATAATAATAATAATACAGTAAGAATTCACAAACAATCTGATTCAATTTTATCCTGAGTTTCCATTATTCACATTAAAAATCAAATCTTTATCATGAAACCATGTCAATTTTGGGATTGATAATCAACCTTAAAACATCGCCAAACAGCAAAAGATATTAGATTAATCATAAATAACTATTTCTTCCCCAAAAAAAAAAAAATAAATAAAAAGAAACTATCAATGTCGATAAAGATTGTTAGGGAATATATATATATGTGTGTGTGTGTGTGTGTTTTTTTGAAATCACAATCTTACTGAATTCCCTCAATCCGCAGTATCCCCACACTCGAACATAAAACTCAGTACCCAAAAAAAAAAAAAAAAAAAAAAACCTAAATTTACGGATAGATATGTTACAGAGTGAGGAACTCACTGAAAATCGGAGTGAACTTTGGCTCGCTTATGGTGAGAGTCGTGATCACAGTCCTCAGAAGCCGCAGCAGAAGAACCCGAGCTACTCTCTCCCTTGGACCGCCGCGAAGTCCTCATCGAGGCTCTCAAGGAGGCGAGAGCGCCGACGCTGACCGAGTCGTCCCACTGGGCGCCGCCACGCACCGCCTCGACCATCCCTTCGAACATTCTCAAGTTCTCGTCACGGTCACGGCCATGGACATCCTCGGTCTCCTCGGTAATTCTGATATTGCCCTCATTCTCGAAAGCGCCCTCTTTCATGGCTTCCGCGCTATATTCTTCCTCTCCAGGTTCGTCTTCTTCGCTGAAGCATAGGCAGCACAAAATCTTCATGCACTCGGGGGTAAAGCTCGGAACTTTTTCGCCAACCCTAGCTCTCGATCCGACGCATTTTCGAGAGAAAGAAAGAAAGCCCCTTCTAGGACCAAATCAAAAACCCTAATTCCGACCTGGAGAAATCGAACGAACAATCTCGACGATGGCGAAACCCTAGAATCAAGAGCTTCAAATCGATTGATAAATTCCAGTTTGCTCGAAATGAAGAAACGGAAATTGAGCTACATACGCATATGTAAACAGACACATACACAGAAGAAAGAGTTGAGAGAGAGAGAGAGAGAGAGAGAGAGGAGAGGAGAGAGAGTTTTAGCGGATCTGATCGGATCCCGTGAGCTGCTTTGCCGTGGATGCTTTCTTTTTGTATCTTTGAAACGGTGATATAATCTGTATTCTGTACACTTCTGTACTTGAACGGAAATTGCAATATAGATTACAGTCTATGCCTAAATTACAATTACACCAAAATATTCTAAAACCCAATAGATGGAAAAGAAGAAAAAAAATAATAATAATCTTCTTTTCAGCCAACAAAAAATAGTAATGACAGAAAGCGAGATTTCCCCTTAAAAAACAATAATAATAATAATAAAACAGAGGGAGATTTAAGTGCACACTGTCGTTTGCATTTTTTCCCCCCCTTTCAAAGAGAGAGATTTGGGCTGCAAAACGACTGCGTTTTATGTTTGATTCCTTGGAATTTTCGGACAATTCCCTGACCCGCTTCGGCCACTGATGAATAGACAAGAATGCACGGTAAAGACGTCCACCCAACCAAACGGTTTATAAGAGATCTAATCCAATTGAAATTAAATCAATTATAATTGATTTGATTCGTTTTTTTAATAAATTTAAATTAATATTTTATTACTTCTTAAATTTTAGCTATAATTTGTACTATTTTTTTGTATGATAGATATTTTGTTATTTCTTAATTGTAAATATCAATAGACCAATAACGAAATCTCTAAGTGAAATAAAAATAAGTTATGGTAGAAATTTTTATCGTTTAATTTTAAAATAAACACATTTTTTAAATATAAATAATAAATATATAAAATACATATAATTTTAAGAATATATATAAATAGAAATTAGTTTGATTCGGTTTGATTTTTTTTTGGGTAAAACTACAAATCAAATTAATTTTAATTTGTTTTTAAAAAATTTTAAACTAAACCAAACTGATTATTAATTAGTTGGTTTGGTTTTCTTTTAGTTCGTTTTGATTTAATTAGTTTGAATGGTTTGTTGCACACTCCTATGCATGAATGAATTTTTATGTGCAAACAAAGAAATTAACAACTTTAGTAAAAATAAAAATAAAAATTTGGGGATTAATTTATGTGCCAAACAGCTATAGCAGTGTAATTTTTCTATGTTAAAATCTAACTAAAATTATAAAACATGAAAAATGGCATAGGATTCAAAGAAGTCAATGCTAGCTATTCCTTTTAGTATCTGGAAATTTCCCTTGAATTTCTTTATATATATATATATATATATATATAACAAATAAGTTAATAATTGTTTGTACAATTTTTTTGAAGCTTTTTGTTGTAGGATTTTTCAAAATGTGAAAAATAGGATTTGTAACATCAACATGGGTGATAAACATAGATATCGCATCTTTGTGTTATCTTTGCAACACTACGTAATACAGAAGTGGTAAACAATGTAGCTTTCTCATTAAAAAAATAATAAATATATGTATATATCATAAACGGGAAAGAAGACTAAGGGCTTATTCTTTTGAGTGAAAACTCAAAAAAAGACAATTCGAGTTACAATTTTATTTGAGTTCTTATTCTTTTAAGTTAAACTCGAGTTCAAACTCGAGTTTATGACTAAAATTCGAGTTCAAGTTTCCCCTTCAACTCGAATTCAGAAACTCAAACTCAAATTAATGAACAATATTTTTTCTATTCTTAAAAATGTTATAACTTTTTCGTTTTAATTATGATTGAGATGATTTTTTTTTCTATGCGTTGACAACGAAAAGACGAATAAAATCCGACCCATATACCCTATTAAAATTTTCTATCAGTATTGAGTTTTTATTAAAATACTATTTAAATATAAATTCAAGTTTTGACTGACTCAAACACAAACTCAAAAAGATTCTTATCTCAAACCATAACTCAAATGTACACAACCAAACACAAACTCAAATTATAACTTCAACTCAAATTATAACTCAAATTCAACTCAATAATCATACTCAAGTTAAACTTTAAAAGAACAAGTCCTAAATTAATTTAAAGTACTCTCAGAAAAGGAAAATGCTCCGTATATCGTTCAATTTATTAGGAAGCTTACTTGATAGCTGTTTTAAGAAGAGACTAATCGACAATTTGGTGCCATAATCATCACATCGTTTGATAGTATGACAATTGATGTTGTAGTATGTGGATACATTAATAGGTTATCTTTTTTTTTTTTTTTAAATTGGAACAATTTTATTTTATTAAAATATCCAACTCCCTATCGTGGAATCACAAAATATGGATCATTATTCGTAATCACTTAACAGAATAATGTTTGGTAGAGGGATTCGTTTCCTAATTCGAATTATAATTCGTGGTTCGTTACAGTATTTTCTCTCATAAAAAATACACGTAAATAAAAAATGATTCAAATTGTATGGTTTGAATCCTCTAACCAAACGTCATCAATTTAAAGATTTGCAAACAGCACTAATGACCACGCGAATATGGAGAAAGTTAGGGACTTCCCTTTGAGTCAACTCTTTAGTTTTAATTTTGTGTAATTCTCTTAAGATTATTTTTAAGTTTATATGATAAATAGATAAAGACAATAATATTATAGTGTTTAAAACAATATATAAATTCTTAGAAAAAAATTGTCACTCCTTTGAGCACATCTCTGTTTAATTTTGTGCTGCTCTCTTTCAATTCTGCCAATCCTTAATTAATGTTTAAAGAGAGAAAGTTGAGAGCAATCTTGTTTTTTTTTTTTTATTTAAAAAAAAAGTAAACATAAATCTTCATGCTCTCATTGGAAGCACATTTCTCTATATTTTTCAAATTTTTATGCCCCCTATAGATTTTTCTGTTCTGTTTGTTTCGTTGGTTTGAATCACAACTCAACTCTTTGTTACAGCCTTTTTTCTTATGAAAATTCAAATTTAACTTTTATACTATAATATTTTATCTCACATAAATTTACTTTTCAACTCGAGTTGAAAACTCTAACCAGCTAAACGAACGAGCCCTTAATGAACATAAAAGGGGTGTGAATTATAGGAATGTCATTTTAAAAATTAGTATTTACATGTATCATAGGGCACTTTACATGAACACCATAAGTTTTAGGCTTGAATTAACATATGCCATGAGACATAAGCTATTAAAAATAGTAAAATCATAAGCTAAATATACTTAAAAATTCAGAGAAATCACAAATATATAATAAAAAACCACAAAATCCTCACAAAATCTAATGATACTGAATAAAATACACAAAAATACAAGTATAATTTAACTCAGTACACAAAACTTAAATACTGTCACTGTGGTATATTTTGTTATAATTTTAGTATCCATGACAAAAGTTAATACAACCTTAAAAATCATGATATATTACCTAAATATCTCTATATAACCCCCACTGATCCATGCTCTGATTTTTGAACTGGGCTTATACCCACTGTTCAAAAAAGTCCATAGGAGTCCAGTCCAATACAGCTGTCAAAATCCTCAATCCTTCCTCGTACCAGTCATTGTCATTGATGAGCAGTTCAGCTGTAGGACATGCACCAAACAAAGTTTAAAGTTGCAAAAAAATATGCTGGAACGTGAAACTTTGCTCTCCTACTCAATTATTTCTCATATCTTATAATGATACATATTCAAATTATTGTGATAATTAGACTACAGTTTTCACTGTCTTTTTGGTGATTCGAGTATATGTTACATCCCGAAGTCCCATACCAATATACACAAATAAAAAAAAAGTAATAAAAAATTAATAGTTGTGTTTGAAATTGATCTCGTTTTTATTTTTTACGTTTTTTAAGGAAAAAAATGTTCTCAAAACGGCATTTGACGCAATAAAAATAAAAAATAAAAATAAAAAATTTTTAATTTAATGTAAAATGAGAGAGAAATGAAAAACGACTTTTAGTCGTTTTTCATTTTTTGTTTTTATTTGCTCCTCTTTCGAGCACAGAGGGAGAGAAAGAGACATTAATGATTTTTTTACATTGAAAACAATCTCTTGATAAAACTACTAAACGTATTTTTAAAAATGATTTATGTTTGAGATTGAAAACGTTTTCATTTTTCTTTTCATACAAAAAATAAAATAATTTTAGAACGAGTTTCAAATGCGCCTGTAATTTAAAAAAAAAAGCATTTATTTTGAGCAACAGTAGGGGTTTATCGACAATATGTGAATTGTTTAACCATACATGATGTTAGCAATACGTGCATATTAAAAGCAAAAAGAAGAACTTTGCGTGGCAACATTGTCTTACATACATGGGTATACTAAACAAACTTTGTGTTAGTATTACTATTTTAATCTCAACACAGATTATAAACTATATACATAAGATAAAATAAGGATAAAGAAAAACACATTTTTCCTTTTTTTTTTTTTTTTGCATTCTTTATAATATAGTGCGGCACAGCCACTCTAAAGTTTTTGTTTTTGCTTTTTTTTTTTTTTTTTAGAACACTCCAAAGTGCTCAAGCAAAGCATTTTTCCTGTACCCAAAATCAATGAAGGAAACAAAGCACTATTTCACTGTCTCTATATATTATTGTTTTATTTATTTATTTTTGGGTTATACATTAGGGTTTCATTTTCAGTTTTCTTTGAAGGCAAAATGAAGGGTATGTTATTTTCTCAAACTTGAGTTATGAATTTGAATTTAATACGTGAGAAAAAACACTGTAATAAAAAAATTAAATTTAAATTTTTATGAAATAAAATATTATAGTAAAAAATTTAAATTGTGATTTGAGTTAGGTAGAAGAACATGCGCGAAGAAATCGTCGAGACCCGATCCAAGGCGTTTCTAGAGTTTAATATCCTCGATTAGTGATAAATAAGAATGATTAAGAAGTATTCATTAGGGAAACCATTGTCATGCACAGAAGCTAAGACACTGTCACCGGCTTCCAAATAGGGGAACATGTGGGACCCGCGCGACCGGATCAATGGTCGCAAAAGGATGTAGGGTGGATCAGTCGGTCCATAAAACCCTCAACCATGCCTTGGAATAGTCAGCCTAAATGGCCGACCATTGACTACATTTATCCAATTACGCATTTAGTAAAAAGCATACAAATATTATCATGACTTTGGGGACTATTGGTGTCGACTGTTTCATGACATTTCTCACTCCAATTCCTACCTCTTTCGTGGAAATTCAAACTTCAAAGGAAAAACAAAAATTGACCATGTCATAAAATTTATAGGTGAGTAATTTTGGTGTGCCAGTATCATCACCACAAAAACAAAAAAACAAACAAAAAACAAAAAAGAAAAAACA